TAACAATACAGCTTCAGGTTTCTGCGCTGTAGTCTATGAAAAAACAGAAATACCATGAAAATATCGAGCAATCAGACATAGTAGTTTTGGATGTGACCTTGTGCTGTGTACTGCAAGTTCAGTACTGCTTAAATAGTTGACTTTCTTTCTTAGTGCTCAAAATGCTGAAATCAGCCAGCTACACTTGTTGATTTCCATTTGATAAGATTCTTGCTTTTACTTGAACCTTTCCATAATAAATTCAGAAGTCAGATTCCATTACAAAGCCTTATCTGTATAATACGCCTTACTGGAGGACACTTCAGCAGGGTTTGGCTGCTCCCTTTGCCGCGCTGCTGCCCTTTAGATAAAATATTGAGGTGGAATTAACTCCACAGCCCACATATTGAGTTTATAAAGGATTACAGTCCCTCTGTGTCTGTGTGAGTCCAGACAACACACAGCTGTTTGTTGTTGTGATGATGATGATGTCACGTCTGTCTGAAAGGACAGAGGAGCCAAAGAAAGTGGCTGCCTGAGGGTCGACTCTCATGATACTGGAGTGAGTGAGAGAGTGATTGAGTGAGTGGCTTCCATTCCACCTGAATTATAGAAAGGCAGGTGGAGTGGACTGCTTATGACTCTGCACTTTAAGCCAAATAAAAAGAAGTCAAAGCATCTGTACATTGATCTTTATTGAAAGTGGAATAAATAGATATAAGCTTTCAGTCACACAGACCCACACAGAGTCTCCCATGCAGAGAGGTGGGTTAATACATTTTCAATTACACCTGAGGTGATAAAAGATAATTTGAGATTTGAGGGTTTAACACTCTTAGAAATATTACAAAACATTATTATTATTGCTTTTAAATATTAAAATTTTTCATGATGGTTGACATCCATTATAATTCCTCACAGACTAACATGACATATCCATGTTGCCATGAGCAACTGTCATCTACCAGTCAAATTTATTATGTACGATGTTTCAGGTTATCCACCTATCCACAAAATTTAGATCCATTTTGAACAATAACACCTACACTGCATTGGACCCATATAACTTTATCCACTGAAGGTCTCCTCTTAGGTAGAAGGAGCTTGTACAGCACCTTCCACCTAAACACTGCCACCCTCTGATGCTTCCTGACCTCCATACCGTCATATTCATGAACTTTACCAGAGCTGCATATAAAGCCTTTCCTTCCACAATACAAAAGCCAGAAAGCCATAGAGAGCTTTGACTAATACTATGACTGCATGAGTCACTTTCTTGCTAACACACGCCGAATGGTAATTTCATAACTTCCTAGAAGCAGTAAAACCCAAATTCCCTCCCCACCTTACTTCCCTCTTTCTTTCCGTCCCTCCCCCGTCACCCTCCCTAATTAGGCATGCCCCCCTCTTCCTCTTCCTACCTCCTCCATCACTGAGTTTGCCTCCAAGGCGTCAGCATATCAGCCAATCACAGGGAAGAGGATGTGGCATTCAGCTCCCCCTTAAGGCCACTCACACTCTCTAACCAATAAACTCAGAGATAGTGGGCAGGGCTCATGTTTGGCCCTCCCTGCTCCTCTCTCCTTCTCTCTCTGCCTCCTGCAGCTAAACTTGCTGTCTCACTCATGCTTCCTGGCTTTACTCACATGCACACAAAGAGAAGAGCTGTAGAGTCTTAGCCACACATGAAGCAGCTCTGTCTATTTTAAACCACGCCAGATTGGATTCAGGATATTTTTGTATCTCTTGCGGCGTGTGACAGATTGAATGTACGAGGTAGAGCCAGAGCAGAGTTTGATTTCCTTTTGTTTACCTTTTTATTTGGGATTTTCCTCTATCTGACTGTAGGTGAACGTGTGTGTGTGTGTGACAGAGAGAGAAGAGTGAGTGTGTGTGTGAGAGAGAGAGGACCAGGATGATTGCGGCCCAGCTACTTGCCTATTACTTCACTGAACTCAAGGATGACCAGGTTAAAAAGGTGAGTGCTTTCTGTTTCTTTTGCCTCCATTATGTTTGTATGAGTGAGAGAGACTGATGTGAAGAAAAAACAGAGGTTGAGAAGACAGGTGAGGATATCATGTGTTTGTAGAGGTCATTGAGTATACAGTCACCTTCATAACTTTGCTGTAAGACTGGAGTTTGTCAGTACAGCGAATGAGGAAATCCATGTAATGTGATACATCTCTTTAAGGAAGTGAATAAAACATAGTGCATGCTGGGAGAGAATTGTAAGTCAGATTGGTTGTATTCATTTCACAATCACTTATTTGTTTTTGAAAGATTTAAATCAGCGGGGTTCAGTGAGACGTGAAAAACTGCACAGGGGTGTGTTTGCGTTGTAAGATAGACACGAGTGTGTAAGGAGACACGACACGCGTGATTGGTGCCATGATGTAAGTTTTGAGAGGTGTGGTGAAGAGGAGGAGAAAGGAAGTTAGAGGCAACGATGAAAGGACAAATGAGCAGAGGGATGAGACGATAGAGCTTGAAAGAGTCATTTTAGGGGTCACTGAGTTTCTTGTATGTTCTTATTAAAATGATATGTTATCATTTCTCTCAGCAGACAGCAACAGAGTAGAAACAGGAAACAAGCTCAGAGACCTTTAATAAGATTCTCAATGTTCATCATTTTGCAGCAGTCTGTCAACAACTGATCCTTTAACAACATGATGACCTTAGGAATGTATGTTTTCTTTCTTTTTCCACCCAAAGAGGAAAAATAATTACTAAAAAGGTGGCAAAAGTAGTCAAGGTCTCCTGAAGCACTGACGTGTGTTTAAGCTAAGGGAATGAGGAATTAATTGATCTGACTGCATGTGAGCAAAAGATTTTCCTAAATCTGATTCTTGTAGCGTCTTCTAGTAAGTTTTACAGCATGATTGAATGTAAAAAAGTTCAAGGTGAAAGAGGAGAAGAGTGACATAGAGGTACACACTATGAATGTGTGTCTTTCATAATTGCTCAGCTCTGCAGCCCCCACTTCTGGCATAAAACTGACTGGACCTGTTTTACTCACCCGCAGATCAGAGTGTGTGTGTGTGTGTGTGTGTACGTGTGTGTCAGAGGACCTGAGCTTTTCCAGTTACTCAGACACCAACAGTTCCAAGCTTCTTCATTGAATGTGCCATAAAATAATGTTGCCAGGCAACAAAAACTATCCTGTAAACTAATGTCCCATAAAGTAAAATTGAGTCATAGGAAGTTGAAATACTTTCAGACCCATTTGTTTATTGCCACATCTTAACATGTGTTTTATGATTCACATGTGGCGCAGGGTCCCTTTAAGGTCGCTCACTGATGATGTCACACTTCACATCACCATCTGCAGGTTCTAGTCTTTTTCCTGTATAAATGGAGAAGTGTTCACAGCTATCACCCTTCCTTCCTCCACCTTCCTCTCTGTCCATAGCCGCTTTCTCAGTTCAGTTCAGTTGAGCAACCTTTAGTCGCACAATTTTGCGATACACAAAACTCCCATCCCCAGGTGTGCCTGGTGTGCCACAGTCAAATCAGAGTCTGGTAAGGTAAAAGACATTCATCAGCAGCCAGGATCGGATGTAATACAACACAGCTCCCTCCCTCTTTACTCCTGCTCTCTTCCTCTCCCTGCCTCCCTAAAATAGGCCAGCTTTGAACCATGTGACCGTAGGTGACAGGAGGAGAAGGCTTACACACAAATACACCCACACTCACTCCCACACTGTGACAGGTGTGTAGCTATTGTGTGGCTTTTCAGAGAGCAGGGTTTGTCTTGACCTCAAAAGAAAATGTTTCTGGTAGAAAAACTGTGCAACATACAGTACTGTAAGTGAAAATATACAAATAATCTCATCACGTACGTGTTTTCAGACAAGCTGTGTCTATCTGCAGTTTTCACAGAGCTTCAATCAGCTGAGTGCGTCTCCCCTTCTCTCCATCCACTGCAGTGTCCTTGACTGTACTCTCTGATACACTGTGGGCTGTTAGTGGGCATCCAAAGCAGTGTTTCAGTGTATGTGTGTGGAAGAAGGGAAGGTGCAGGAGAAGGCAGTGCAGAGGACAGTAATTTTCCACATAGCGCGGCTGTGTGTGCACAACATCGTGCACATGTACATACACAATGGGGTCAGGTTTCAGTGCTTCCTCGAATCACCTCGCAGTGACGAGGAGAACAGGCATTGTTGAGAGGAATGCAAACAATAAGGAGAGGGAGAAAATGGGTGGAGAAAAAGGGAGGGAAGGAGGGGCCGAGAGAGGGAGAGTGTGATCTCTTCCTAAAACTTAAACCAAAGGTCCAGGAGGTGTCAGAGAAAGTTGTGTCAGAGTTGTGTTGAGGGGAAAACATGGCCTTTTACAGACTCATGCATCACCTCACCAGGGAATATGACTTTGCTCAACATTAGTGGAGAATCTGAAAACTCCTATTTTGGTCAAAAAAGAAAAAAGAAAGTTCCATATGAAAGATGGATCATACTTTTGGGCACAGTATTTTCTCTATGACCTACAGCAGAGATATTAATCCAAGCTACGTGAGATCAGATGATGCTCTGCTGTAATAAAGTGCTTAGGCATGGTTTCTAGCTGCAGAGTGCTGAGTCATAGTACAGTGATGCTAATTTCTTTCCTGCAGCAGGAACTGCCTTTAGTCTGGGTTCAGTGGATTTCTCTTAGTTTGATGTGGAGAAATGTGGGCAGTGCCTGCTTTTAATCCTCCCCCTTTGTAACCCAGGATTAGTCCGGCCAGAAACACACTGTTATTTAAGTAGACTATTCAATTAGCTACTTAGGAACACATTCTTATTTTAACCAGACCATTTAAATATGAATCCAAACTAGTTAGCTTACTGCACATGTATAAGCTTGTTTAACAATGCTTATGACCCAAGTGAAAACCGTGTATGGTTATACAGTTGTGTTTTACAGTTGGTGGTACAAGGTGGTGATAGGAGGAATATAACCATTAAGAACAATGAGTGGCATGGAGGAACAGTGAGTTGCAGTTGCCATGAGCAGAATGGGTTAAATAGATCGTGATCCTGAATGGATCTGTTTACTTTAGTTGACAGCTACAGTGGTGCACATGACCCCCTGAACTAATACATATTCACAGAGAATAAGGTTAAACCGATATATGTTTTTGTGACCACAATATGGTACAATTTAGTGTCTTTAAATCATCAAGACTTGATTGCATTTTATGGCTAACATATTAGCAAAGACTTGGCTAACATTACTTAAGAGTTCTCCACTAATTTAAAATTTAAAATATATAAAAACTGATGCAACAGAACCAGAGTTATCGTATTTCTTATTCCACGCATTCTTTTTCTTTGTCAAAACCTGGTGCTTCCATTACCCACAATGCAACTCCACTGCCGAGGGTTTGGTTTGAGATCTGGGTTTGTTATGCTAGTAGCAGCTAATGTAGCTTTGAGTCAAGCAAAGGCAACAAGAACTGAGGTACAGAGGTCTGGCAAGCTCACTTCTTTCTCTCTCCACATTCCTTAAATGTTTTTCATTTTCAAACCTGTAGTCTTTACCCCCAACCGACACTGACTTAAGTGATGTCACTTGAGGCAATTTATCTCCCTCTGCAGCCACAAAAGGCTTCATACCACTGGTTCCCAACCTTTCTCTTTAAGGGACTCCTTTCTCTATGACTGAGTAAACTGACCTGACTAAGTAACATATTTTATGGATATTTCATAATGTATTTAAAGCATAACAAAACAGTATAACAACTGACAAACTGTACACTTAACCCAAACAGTGAAGGCAACAACTGCAGAAAGTTTGTGTAAAATTTGTGATTTGAGCAAATTATACCTGTGAGCATCCAAGATGAGTTTTCCAGAAGTTTTTAGGACATTTTTATACAATTTTCTCTCTGTATTATGTATTTTTATGTATGTATGTAATTTTAACAGTAATAACAATAGATTGGAGAAACACTGAACATATCTTGTGTTCAGGCCTTCACCATGTCCTCATCCTGTGAGATTTTTTGCATTTTCCTTCATTTTGTTTTCATCATAGAAAGAACGAAATACTGAGATATTGGTCAACCTTATTTTTTTTTTAAATTCATCTTACACTACTTAAAATTAAGAATGCCCTGCGACCCCCCCATGAAGCTTTTGCGCCCCCTAGATTGGGAACCCGTGTTTTATACACCTTTTTTCACATATGCAGCAGTACCAAGACCTGTAAACACACTTTGAAGTGTAAAATCAGTGGAGTTCCCCCTTTAATCCTTGTTAACATCCACTTGCAAGAATTCACACTTTTCATTAGAAAAGGGCCATTTACTCTTTCAATCATATAAAGTTTAGATAGACTACAGTATTTGACAGGAAAAGTTTGACCTGTGAAGGTATAAAATAGTGTTATTTTCCTGAATTAGCATTCATTTAGGGTGCGGTGTCCGTGTTTGTCAGACACGTCTGTCATTTAGAGCATTGGGGTTGGAGAGATTTGCATGGGCTCAAGGACCAGTGAACTACAACAGTGAGCTACAAACTTCATAGAGCAGCAGACTGAGTATTGATTCTCAATTAAATCAGCAGTACTCACAACCATTTTACATTACAGTAACTATAGATAAATAAAACTTTAGTGCAAATGTGTCAGTGCCAGGCCATGCACGTTTGGAAAAAAGCCTGGGCCTTCTCATCAACTCTGGATGACTACTCCTTATTCAGCCATGAAATTAAACTGTTTTCTCATTTATACTCTACACAAGATGTCTTTAGCAGAAACTGCATATGTTGGTTGTGCAGTAGCTCTTTCATCTTTCATTTCCTCAAGTTGGGCAGCTGACCTGGGTTAAACTGACCACATACAAAAACATTTATATAAGTCCAAGAGCAACAGGCTGTGCATTTCTAAACTTACTGATGCCTTAGCATAGGGAGCACAATGACAAATTAGTACAAATCAGAAAAATGTCGCAAAGTACCAAGTTGACTTTCAAATGCTCTGCTTTATACCGTTCAGTCTCTGTTGATTTGTCCTATACACTAAGCAGTCTACAGTTTGAATAACTATTTGGTAATGCTGCTTGTTTAATATGTATATTATATAAAATGCATTTAGTTTACATGTGAATTTGAACACACCTACTTGTGTCTGTGTGGTTATGACTGGTAGAAGGTGCAGTATTTGTGTGTAAAGACATGCGGTTTGTTTGTGTGTGTTTATGGTTTAATTAAAAAAACAGATGCTGAGGGTAAGCGGGAATGTCATTAGGGTCAGGCATTGTCAAGTACCAACAAGTTGCTGCAGTTAAAATGTCTGTTCAAACCACCGACTAGTCAGAGAACAATACAACTCAGGGTTAACTGGTTATGAAACAGTCTTAGAAACACTACAGCTTTTGTCCATAGGGGCGAACAGAATCAACACAAAATGAAAGTTCCTAGTTGCTGCTTTAACTGTACTGATGTATTTTACTGAGCTTATGAAGGTGAGAGGTTACATTTACTCAGCTCTGGGCTCCTGTATGACAAGAGGATGTGCTAATGAGCTTTCATCCTGGAGGCAGACTCCACATTTAGACAGGATATAGGGAATGTAACACCTACAAAGAAGTTTGGACAATACTGTTCTCATATATGTGACTCTCCGTCCATGTTGACTCACAACTTGTTTACACTATTTTGCATGATTAAACAGCAGATCATTAATGTTTGTAGAGATCCAGAAGCCAAATTCACCTTACAGTGGCAGAAAGGTCCCATCTTTACACACATGCCAAGACCACCATTTATTTCAAAGTATTCTTACTATCTGACAACAAAATCCAAATGTGGTTTTATGTACAATAAGGTAAATGTCTGCTGATTGTAACCTTTATGTCAAAGACACTGGATTTATCCTTTCTCTACTGCAAAATGCATTGATGTGGCCAGCAGATGTAAATTTGTTCCTATAAGTACACTCACACCCAAACTGGCATTGTCCTGAGCCAGCTACCAAAGACCAGAGCTGTACAGGAAGTACAGTTGATGTGTGACTCCTGATACAGGAAGTTATAACATTCCTGTCTGATGTCTGTTACAATCAATGAGTAATACTAGTAAATTATCAAATGGATGTCTCAGAACATGTATGTGGATATTGAATCATGTGATTTCCATGTGGACTGGGCTGACCTTGTGAGTATTTTATAGATATATATATATATATATATCACATATTCTGGGGGACATTGTTATGAAACAGACTGATGGTAATCCTATTATGGGTCCTATTGACAACTCAAAGAGTCAATCCCACTCCACTTTAC